CCGACTAGAGTCGAAGCAAGATCTTCAGTCAGTAAGGAAAGACTATATTGCAGTAACCAACTGTACCTAGAGTCGAAGCAAGACTACAAAGGTTAAGTAAGTAACTACAAGTTAGAGGTAAAGGTAACGAAGTACTCACTCTTCAGTCAGTAAGGAAAGACTGAAGAGGGAGGACGCAATCTGAAGTCCTTATATACTACAGAGAAGTGTCCATGACTAATCGAAGAGTGGTTAGTCACATGTACCATAGTGCGATGAATAATACGATGGTGAAAGAATTGCGATGTATCGCACCATACGATGAGTAAGAGATGAGTAAGGCATAGACCTGTCTAGACCGTTCTGGAGTAGTACGGATTGTCCTAGACAGTACCAGAAGAGTCCGGAAACATAGCTATAGTACACGAGCAGAGAGTCCCAAATATGGTAACATACTACATAAGCGACTACAGCTAAGCGCTAGGAGACGCATAGCCTCGTGTAGTCCGTACCGGATAAGTCCAAGTTCAACAACAAGGTACTCCCAAATCTTGCTGAGTATACTCTGGTTGGATGGGACAGGGCAGTGAACGATCCTTGGTCTGCTGCGCAGAGCTTGGTGCAAAGATACAAGCTGCACGAGTACGCATGTAGAGCCCTTAATATACAGTGCCTTGTACTAACAGTACTTCTGGAGAACGCGTCTGCATCTTGCTCTGCACAGTTGTGTATTGATTGGAGAAAAGATCACCTTGACTTGTTGAGGTAACCAACAATGTTGATTGGCCGAACTCGATAGTCTCTATAATCTCAGTCAAATGAGCTTGAGCACTCGCACGGTCTATATCGTCGTGTCCAGAACATGTTCCATCTACAGGCAAAGGGCAAGGAGATCGTGGTTACTACTACCATTTTAACGCTGAAACGAAGTCCGACTCACATGCACATGTCCCTATTGAGATACGGGAGTGTCACCCCAGAATATTGTGGATGATTCTTGCTCGGGATAAGACAGTTGCGAGATCGTCTCCCCGTCCCTATCCATGTTCCCGTTCCTATCCATGTTCCCATAAATTTCCCATTCAAGCGATTCAACCTCTCTAGCCTCGTTAGTATTGACAGTCTCTGGTGCGAGCGGGGTGATCGTGAAGTTCAACGTCTCCACTGTGGATGAAGGTGGTGCTATGGGATGGTCTTCGTCGTCCTCTTCCCCCGTATCAGCACGCTCCAAGTATGCGCGGGAAAACAAAAGGGCTGTCAACCTGTGAGGCATTCATTGTGAGTGCTGCAGCTTTGCTGTCATAGAATCTACGGGGTTTCTTACGGCATGTCAACTTCAGAAATGAGCCAGTTGAGAAAACCCGTCAGTGATGAGAGTGTAGACAGGACGTTCATCATGGAGAGAATCCTGGATGGTTGATGGTCAAGGGTCCGATCATCAGCCTAAATGCATGCTAAGGCCATGGACGTACAGAACATGAATACCACCTGTTGGTATACTCGGGTCCAGTCAGTATTTCGTCGGGTGAGGACGAGATATACGGTGAGGGCCTCTGACCGTTGATGACGAGTTCGCGTAACCGCTCTGCCCACTCGGAGTTTTCGAAGATGTCGAGTGTACGTGTGGGGCCAACAATAAAACGAGTTTTCCACCAGAGAATTGCAAATACAGAGGAGTCCATGAGTATGGCCACAATGTGACTGGCTACGAGTACTTCAGAATAGCTAGGAGGTTAATAAAGAATGAACAACCGTATGCGATGTTATGACTCACACCTAGTTGCAAATGTTCTCTCAGTGACTCGGTATGAAGCTCAGGAAAGGGAAGCTCACGAGGTGGAGACTTCGTGGGGAGCGCGACTGCGTGAATTGCAGTAGGCGGATACAGCGAAGTTGAAATCCGTGGTTGTCGTTGTCCTCGCATACATATACTAGATCGATGCTCTGGTAAGCCGCATGACCAGTGATGCCAACTGGTGATTTGATCCTAACGGTGTCTACAGCTGCTGGCAGCCATGCGGCAACCAGTATGACGGGAGGAAGAATTACGGCGTGATTAAGGAGGGCGTTTGTCTGGACGACTGGCGTAACTAGCGTTGGCTTAGTTTCAGCGATTGTTTAGCCGCAGTTCAGCGACACACTCACCGCTCCAAACAACATAGATTAGAACACCGGTTACAAGGAGTAGTATTTGAGGTAGGCCACAACTAATGGTTTTGAAAATCGGTCGGAGTCGGTTCAGTGAGGTTTCGCCAAACAAGGTTCTACTCACTCCTGCGCCGCTCCTCATCAGTGCACATAGAACCGCTATAGTACGAAGAGCTCACAAGGTCATCCTGGTTCATCAGATCAGCGTATATGACCACTATGCATCGTATCCATAATAGACCCTTGTTGAGAAGGTATGGCAGCTTGGTATAAGCAAGCCCCCGGAATCCACTCGAGGCATCTGTTCGTAGTAGTCTCTGCTCGCTATGCATAAGTAGAAGATGCTCGTAGAGGACGAGCGCTGATAGATAGGTATATTAGCCTTTGAGTTGTTACAGATTACTAGACTCGAAGGACACAGACTTATCATGGCGATATCGACCCGTACTCGCATGACCCTAGATAGCTCCAGTTCATCATTGATGATAGTCATGTCGAAGGATAGAGTAGGAAGGAGTCAATGGGAGGGCCGCTTGGATAGACCGAGTCTAAGTACCCACCAAGAGTCCGTCTGGCTGTGCGCGGTGTTCACCATTCGACCGCGGAAACGACCCTGTCAGCTAGTAGTGCTGTCATTGAAAATCGTCGGGGACGATCAGCATGGGCGCGGCACCAGAGCACTGCAACCCTCAGGGTTTGTTCAGTCCGACGACCACATAGCTATGCTGCAAGAAAGGGGCACGTACAGCACAAACTATTTTTGTCGATAAAAGAGTCCGATGTCGGAGTAGCTCCGACTGCAGAACGACCGTCAGGTTCGCTACCAGGTGCCAGAACCCTCGTATGTTGACTTGCTACCTACTATCCATATGGCACGAGACGACACGCGACGACGACCAATAGGTCAGGGTGCTACACCTGGGGTGTCTCGACTTCAGGAGAAGACCGCGCCGTGCGATGATGGAATATGCCCGATCCACCTCCGCCCCGGGCCGGACGACGATACGGCTGCTTTTGGTGATTCCATGCATCATTCCTAGGACTGGCCCTGATAGGCCTTCCGGACATCTCGCATCCGGGGGAGCATGTACGCCGGCGATAATACGTATTGACGTAGATGCGAAGCTCGCAGCTGGGTGCCTATGCAGCCAGTCTGGCATACCGCATTGGACCAAAACCTCCCCCAGAGGGACAGAGTCGAAGAGATGCCCAAATACGCCACTGACCGCCCTGTCATTTATGCAGGTCAGCAGCGACACGGCTGAAAGGTGACTCCAGAGCTCGCAATGTATTCTCTGCCAGGATCCGGCACGGGCCTTCCGTGGAGCCGTCGTCGTGATGTATAGGTTCGATAAGGATAGATATAGCACACGCACTAGTTGAACACATCCGCTACTACGACGGTGCGTCGTTGACGTACATCCGTATATGCGCGTCGACAAAGTGCTCAATCGTCTGCGCGTCCAGCGCCCCAATACCTAACCTCCGTCGCTGGTCCAACATGTTCGTCAGTAAGACATCCGCGCTGAGAAGAGGGGCGACTCACAAGCGCAAAGCACGCGCCATGGTACACCATCTGGAACAGCTCCTTGAACTCGGCGTGCCCTTTGCCGACGCCCTCCCGCGCGAGGGCCTTCGTGACCGCCCGCTTCACCGTCTGCACAAGTCACCGGTCAAGAGGCAAGGCGAGGGCAGTCAGCAGACCGAACGTATCCCTCCAGAAAACAGCATGACTCACGTTCCGGTTCTCCCTCTCCACGCTCTCGACTTTCTCCTTCTCTCTCTCCTTCCCCTTGCTACCACTGCCCGCACTCACGCTAGGGCCCCCGAACACGTCCGCCTCGGAGGCTGTCCGGCGTATCGGCACGTTCGGCACCTTGAACACATCCTTGTCCCTCCCGGCACCGACGCGCGCGTCCTTCCCCAGCGCCGCCGCGACCGCCGAGCCCGATGCAGCCTTCTGCAGCAGGTGCGGCGGCGGGATACGCACCATCGTCTCCGCCGCGGCCCGCCGCATCGCCTCTTCGTCCATCGCCGTCGCGCGCCCCTTGCCCTTCCCGGTGCCATTCGCATCTGCGGTAGACTTCGTGCGTTTGCTTCTCTCGCTGCCTTTGGTGTCCGAGAGGTCGAACGGAACGGACTCGCGCTTGCGCTTCGCCCCGGAGCCGAATGCGGGCGGGGGCCGGCGCGGGGTGGGGTCGTCCGGGCGCGGCAGGCGGAAGGAGGGTGGCGGTGGCGGGGCGGGCAGGATCCGCGCTGCGAGGACGTGGAGCGTTTGTGGCGGGGCGTGTGAGGTCGATGCTGTCGCTGGCGATGGCGGGCTGGCAGAAGAGGAAGAAGCAGAAGATGGAGGGGGAGAGGGGCGGAGCTGGCCATAGATGATGAGATCTGGCGTGTCAGGGTCGTCTGCGGTGCAGGGTCGTTAGCGTTCTGACTCGGATTATGGGCGGATGGGAGGGATGACAAGTTGGTTGAGAAGGTTGGTATACGCGCTTCACCGGCAGGACCTACTGAGGCGAACGCATATAGTCACAACAGAGACCGTGTCCATATCGGACATACCTGAGGATGGACACGACACACACGCGTTTTGACCTACTCTGTAATTGTACCCGTGCGTACACACCTGACTTGGTCGGAAACGAGTCACGACTGTATACACAAAACTTGACACGAACCCGTACCCAAGGCGGATTTACCTCGGCGTCGACGAGACATGTGACTATATGCGTAAGACATTCGTATCAAGGTGGATCGATGCGCGTGCGGCGCCACACTGATGTGCATATATGCGTGTTTTAGCTTGTGGTAGACCGCGTACACCCATGTGCATCACGACACGGGTCCTAAGGATGGACACGGGTGGGGTAGACCTGCTTCGGGTCGGGGTATATACCCGTGCGGTACTAGTACGGGTCAAAGTTCGGTCGACCCGACGAAAACCCGTACCCGAAGGAGAGTACCCTTGGACCCATTGGTTAGGAGTAACTTCGTTGCACTGCGGTGGAAGGGCCCCTCTATACATCGAGGTGATTCCATTAACGGCTATCTGCTTGTCAGTGGACGCAGTGCCCACAAAGAAGTCTTGAAAACCATCTCTGGCGACAAGCAAATAGCCGTACTGCAGCCGTATCCCAAATACACGTCTCAAAGCCAAATCCGCACGGGTTCGTGACCCGTGTCTAACCCTAGGCACGGCTCAAGCAGGGACATCACCATAGCGGCGGAGCCACGCACGGGGATCAACACTCCGTACAAGTGATTAATAGCACTCACTGTTGTCGGTGAGGCTGACGCGGATGCCATGGTCCGCCTTGCCGTCCGGGGACGCGATCGGGTTGAGGCAGAAGAGGTTCTCGAGGTATATACGCGTCAGAGTCGCGTCGGGATGGACATCGCTGTGGGTTTCGCATCAGTATAGCGTCTCTTCAGTATCACAACTGCACTACGGATAATATCGCACACGCTGATATCTGCCGGTGGGGGCTCGATCCACAGGTCCTTGACTCGGACGGTCCCGATCAAGTGCAGATTGCGACCGCGCAAACTCTCGAGGGTGAGCGCGAGGGTGTTGTCGAGCAATGCGGGGCTCCCGTGGGTATGCGCAGTCTTGAGTGTAAAGCTTAGGCCGTCGAGGAGGAGGTGAGAGTCAGGGAGAGAGAGAGAGCCACGGTAGAGTAGTCGGTGTGCGGGCGCGTTTGTTTTGGATGGGGTCGAATCCATTCGGGTCCGTGTGGCCTAAAGCGGTCACTGTGGAAGGTTCCTTAGTAGGTTCCGACTCCAAAACACACTCATATACGCACGCGAAGAGAGTAAATAGCGAAGGCCGGATGGAAGCCCTGCGCGGAGCGATGACGGACTCGCGAGAAGCCAGGTGTAACCGCCTGCATAAAGAACGGTGGTGACTTTATGTCAGGTGCTTGTGACCTCACGCGCTATGTTTGCCAAACACAACCATATCGCGGCTAAGCGCTTGAAGTAAGTAATGTCGACCTTGATGCACCTTGATCCGCTCCTTCGTACTTATTGTATCTCTAATATAAGCATCAAAACGCTAGCTACCCCATATAGTGGATATATATGCCAAGAGAACATCCATCCCTCGTGATATGGGACCTCACCGCCATGGCCACCATCATCGACTCCAATATGTCTCTAACAATAACTCGTTACACGCCTGGAGAATCATCAAATCAAATCTAAGTACGTCTACTCCTGGTTCGTTGCATACTGCGCTGCCTCCATGCCTGGAAGTCAACATCAAGGTATGCACATGCACCGCACTACTTCAGTTGTTCGACACGTTCGGTGATGCTCAAGCAAAGGAGTGCAGCATTGTCTGCATACTCACAGCAATCCCAGATGAGACCCTACGTTCCAAGCATACGCATAGGACGCCATCACATGTACGTGCTTCCGATCCTTTCTCCTCCGTCGGGCTTGATATGGCTGATCTAGAACGCCACGCAGGGCCTGCATCACCGTTCGAGCTGATCCTCGTCCAGCAGGAGCTCAGAAGAGAAGGGGGCGCACCAGACAGTGGGTGGATACATATCGTTATGATCGTCGTCGTCGTCTCAGTTGGTCTAAGCGCTAGCGACGATTTCCTGTGCTGCCTGATTGCTTCCGAATCCGCATGAGACATGATCCACTTCACGGCGTATATACTCAGCCAACTCTCTCCCCTGTCAGGTCTCATCGAAACTTCATAGTTACGGCCGAAACTGCAGGCTCGCAAAATGAAAGCATCTCGCCAAATCCCGACCTGCATCAGAACGCCGCCTTCAAATCCGCGAGAGCTCGTCAAAAAGTGGCCGAATGTCTACAAAGTCTTCTTTATATCAAGCTGTATCCAGGCGAAGTTATCGGTGCGTTTGCGATCTACTAGGCTGTCTAGAGACACGAGGAGTGCGACAAGGGGAGTGCCCTGTCGCAGACTCCCTAGGGCAAAGATGAGCGTCATGCCGCTTTGTGACCGGGCTAACCTCATGGGACCCGTTTTGCTCACTCGACTTTCGCCAGTTCAGTGCACTCTGTTGGCGCTCAACCACATCCAACACGGGTTTCCCGGATAGCACGTATTGTTTAGGACTCGGTTGTCAAGCGGAGCTCGCCGCATCATGATACATAGATCCGTACTCTCGCCACGCTGACGCATAAACCATAGGGCTCTATTAAAAGGCGATCTCGCGCCCTTACGAGTCGCCATTGCCTTGCGTACCCGGCTTCACGCCGCGTACATCCAGCGCCTGTGCTGCACTCAACGAGCACTCGAGCGTATGCGACAGGACTGGTCTCAGACAATGTGTCAGCTGGAGGCGCAGCACCTCCCCGTACGACCCCAGGGACGCTCGAGAGGTATATAAACCTGACAGAATGCATCGCCATTCCTTAGCTCGTTTTCCTTCACCTTCCGAGCCTCTCGCGATTTTCTCTTCCTTTCATTCCTCTCGGCTGGTGAGATTCGGAGATATTCCTCCCTCGTCTTGTGCGGTTAACAAATCTGTGGCTTGTAGCTGGGACAGCTGGTCCTATACGAGCGACTTCTCCGTAACGCATAACGACCCCGACTGGAAGTTCATACGTGCATGATGCCCGCCTTCAATCGTCTTCTTGTTCTCGCCGTCTTGGGGCTTTTGCTCTGCGTGTACTCTATGCCCATCCCTTCAAATGCTGGTCGCGATCTCGGCGTACGTGCACCAACCTCCGAGCTCCGAGGTTAGCCTGAGGCTCATGGTTAAGTAGACTACTAGTGTTGCTCGACGGACTCTCCATGGTGCACTGCTCACAGAGCCTCACAAAGCTGACGAAGGTATCCAGGCACGCCATCACGAACGCTCAAATGATACCGAGGTACGTAGCAGTATTTCCTCCGTCATCACTTCTTTCAACCCACCCTATTGCAGTTCATTGGGGAAGACCGTGAGGCCTCTGCCCTCGAGCGCCGCAAGGCCGTCAAGGCAACCAAAGTATCGACACCCAAGGTCAAGGCGGCCCCCAAAGTCAAGACGCCTCCTCCTGTGCAGGCTCCTCCGCCAGTGAAGGCCCCTCCTCCGGTGAAGACTCCGGCGAAGACGACAGCGTCGCCGCCCAAGACGACCAAGGTCACTCAGACTACGTCGAAAATCACGGTGAGTAGACATGTGTTGCATTTGGCGCTCCATGTTTCTGCATGCCCCGCTAGTCATCCAAGACGACCTCTGCGGCGACGTCGACCGCTGGTGCTGCCGTGAGTTTCGGGGCTCCCCTCGCCGAAGGTTGACAATGGCTGATGGTCATGTTGCAGTGCCCTATCGCGGCGAAGCCCCAGTCCAATCCAAGCTCCACCTGCCCTTCTTTCGGCGTGCGTCCGACTTGATCACGCATCTCTTCCAGCGTGACAGCCAAGAATTCATCGGCTGGCACGGTACCAACAGCGTACGTCCTGTCCACATCGACCGCGCTATGCTCAGCACTGACAGCTTTAGCAGGACACGGCTGGTTTCTGGGCGGAGCGAGGTGAGCTCGCCAAGCCTGAGAAGACGGATGGGTTCCTGGACTTCATCGGCCTCGGACCCAAGAAGGACGAAGGCACGAGTGGTGCTGACGCGGAGATCGGCCCTGGTGTCTACGTCACGGACGACCGGGACATGTACGTGCTCCAGACGTGCGATGCGTAGACGCACGCTAACGACTTCGCACAGCGCTATCGCGTTTGCCAACAACAATGCTGTCGTGAACAAGAAGAAAATCCCCAAAATCACCGCCCAGCTGTGTGCGATCTTCGCCAAGTCGTCTGGTAACTGGCGTACTACGATCCGCAAGGCATTCTTAACCGCCGAAAATCTCGTCGGGGATGCGTCGGACCCGGTCAGGAAGAACCAGCTCGAGCAGGCGCGTCTCCAGCACATTAAGCAGGCCGTGCCTGGGGTGAGCGCGACGAATGTGGTTAGGTTCTCGCTCCTCAGCCGTAGCAGTACGTATCTCGTTCACTCCGGCCGGTGGAGCTGCCGTTGACTCATGCTCGGCTGTCTTGCAGCGCACACCGGTCAGCTCGTTCTCCCCGCTGGGATCACGAGCCAGTTTACCGCGCAGTGTGTCGAGGTCCCGGTTAACAACCAGCCGGCTGCCAATGCCAACACCAAGCAGTTTCCCAACTTCAGCTACGCCGGCAATGCCCAGAGCCCCGATGATCTTCGTACCGAGTGGAACATTGCTCCCGAGAACGTTCAGCCTGCGCAGTGCGGGTTAATGAATAGTGTCTTCTCAAGCGGATATGGATAGTTATGGTGGCCAAGCAGCTTGCCAGAATCTGTCCGCTCATCGTGGACGTTTCGATGTTGTACACTGATTACTTGACAATATCACACACAACATGAAGAATACGGCATTACAATCCTGATGAGGAGGCAAACGAAAGAGACTGAAGGAACCTCCAAGGATCGAGAACAAGCCACGCGCGGTGTGGTAGCGCACACAAGAGCGACGCAACATATCACAAGCCCACTGCCATCACGAAATCATTCGGTCCCATCCCAAGCTACCGCACGCAACGGGCTTCCGTCGCACCCACCCAGGTTGAGCGGTAACAAGCTCACCGTGATGCATTTCCACCCGCTGTCCACCAACGTATCCAGCCGCGTCAAGTTCTCCACGATAATCCCCCCGTTTCCCAGTACAGCCCGGTGGACGTCGGCGCCCTCGCGTTCGGGTGTGACTTCATCCGGACTGAGCGTATCAAGTCCAATCACCCTGACACCCAATCCGAGGACCCTCTTCACAGCCTCGGCGTCCAGATACGGGTGGTCGCTATAATTGGCCTTGGTCCAGTTGCGCGACCACCCCGTGCACAGGAGGAGGACCCGAGCGCCGCACCGCGTGACCTCCTCTGCTGCAGGCATAAGGTCCTCCCAGATTATGCGCTCGTGCGCGCCCCGATGGCGGACGTCGGCGACAACGGCTGGTGCGGCAGCAAGGAGGGTGAGGTCGAGGCAGTCAACCGTCGCGCCGTTCTCGAAGAAATGGTAGGGCGCATCCAGGTGCGTCCCCGTGTGCGTGCCGATGGTGAGCGCGTGGACGTTGGCAAAGTCGCCCTTGGCTAGGCTGAAGTTGAGGGAGGCGCTGAAGCATGGGTGGCCGACGCATGCGGGGACTTGACCCGATACGAGAGGATGGCTAAGGTCGATGATGGCACGGGATGTGTCGGGCATGATCTTCGTGAGAGAAGACGGCCGAGATAGAGGGTGTGGTAGGGATATTGCACCGCTGGACTAGGATGGCCGGTGGCAAGCGTTCGAAGTATAAGTAGATGGTTTGAGCGTCGAATTCCGGAGCGCGCGCTCCGTGGATGTGCGGTGTGTCGTCGACGTCATTGCCAGGCGTGCCTCTGACCTAGTGTGTCGTCTGACATTTGCATGACAAGCGGCCGGACCAGGATGCACGGAGCTTGATAGAGCGTTGGTATGGAGGCTACTGGGTTGTGGGTCTAAGTATAACTGCGTGAGCTGTGACAATGCGGTTAGGGTATGCTCGACTTCCGGGTACTCTCGATGGAAACCCGAGGCTTTGTGACGTAGTTCACACACCTTCCTCATGGTGATAGTGCGGCTGTACTCCATGCGAACGCGCGTACTGGCGACCCGTCAAGTCCGCCTAGTTTCAGGGGGACAAGACTGACAAGCCAATCGTCCTTTCGGATAGCTTCTAGGTTGGTCAGATTCTCCGCGATTACTGCACCTGCGCCCAGTACGAGGTCATGGACGGCGAAGTCAGGAATAGAGCCATCCACGCGAGTCTCGTCCGGACTAAGGGCGTCGACTCCGATCACCTTCACCCCGAGCTCTAACAGCCTCTTCGCTGCTTCAGCCTCGAGGAAGGGATGCTCGTAGTACATCTGCGACTTCCAGTGCTTGGACCACCCCGTGTGCAACAGGACGAACGCACCAATGTCGAGAGCGACCTTCTGACGAATGATCCCCTCGTATGCTGCAAGATCCGCCCAGGAGATTTTAGCTTTGGCAGACTTCTGAGTAACATCTACGACGACGGCATTTCCAATGAACGTAGAGAGCGGTAGTTGATCTATGGGAGCCCCATTCTGGCAGAAATGATTGGGTGCGTCAACGTGTGTGCCGGTGTGCGAGCCCATGGAGATGCTGTGGACGCTGTTCCCATCCTTCGCTATCGTCTGAACAGGGCAGCATGCAAATGCAGGGTCCCCAGGGTATATCTGTACGTTCGGCTCCAGAGTATGCGAAAGATCGACGTAGACTGCGGCCATCGGTAATGATTGCGTGGTGAGGTGATGATGTTCACAATGAGCTTGAGAAGGGGCTTGCCATGAGAACGGTGTACATTGGGCGGAGTCAAGACTTGAATAATCGGGCACTCAATGGGATGATGGCATTGTTTCAACGAGCCTTTTAAGCGATAACGAAAGACCATTCGGCGATCGAAATGCTAATGACGGCCATACTGTGAACATACTATACTTTCCTCATCCTTCAAACCGTTCATTCTGGACTCGAAAATACCTCCAGGGATAGTCATTGTTCGCTCAGCATGCGAGCATTCTGCTCACTCTTGGTCCTTGCCGCCGTTCCAGCGGCCCTCGCGTTCAAGAGTCAAGACTTTAAGACATGTTCTCAATCTGGCTTCTGTCGACGTGGACGCGCACTCTCTGCTAGGGCCGCCGAGAATCCCTCCTGGAAATCACCCTACTCTGTAGACGCATCTAGCGTTGCTCTCTCATCCGACCAGGCGTCCTTCACCGCCGCGGTCAAGTCATCCATCTATCCCGACGTCAAGTTCAGTCTCGATGTCCGGATACACGACGACGGGGTGGTGCGCGTGCGGATGGACGAGGTGGACGGTCTCCGGAAACACTACGACGAGGCGGCGTCGTGGGCGTTGTTGGACGAGCCGAAGGTCAGTCAACAGGTGCAGTGGAAGGTCGGGAAGGATGGTGTCAGTGCGGTGTACGGCGCGAAGAAAGACGTCGAGGTCAAGGTCGCGTTCGAGCCTCTCAAGGTTACGCTGCTTCGAAACGGGAAGGAACAAATCGTGCTCAACAACCGCGGCCTGTTGCACATGGAGCATTTCCGGACCAAGGAGTCCGTGGCGAAGGGCAAGGAGGGTATCGCGGTCCCCGAAGAGGGTTTAGACATCGACGACGACGCACAGGTAGTGCTCGGTGCCCACCCACGGACCGCCTGGTTCGAGGGGGAACAGGAGGATGGCTGGTGGGAGGAGACTTTCAACTCGTTTACGGATCCTAAACCTAGAGGTAGGTTGTTGAGGCACCGCTTAAATCCTCGCGTACTCAATGTGTCAGGTCCCGAGTCTCTGTCTGTTGACATCGACTTCCCGAACCACGGTCACGTCTACGGTATCCCACAACATGCAACGCGCCTCGACCTCCCGACAACCACCGGCGAGAACGCGCACTACTCGGACCCCTACCGGCTGTACAACGCCGATGTGTTCGAGTATCTCGCGGACTCGACCACGTCGCTTTACGGTTCGATCCCCTTCATGCACGCGCATTCGGCGGACTCGACCGTCGCTATCTTCAACGCGGTCGGTTCGGACACGTTCATCGACATTGGCCACCCCACTGCCAAGTCCTCGACGTCGCACTGGATCTCGGAGACGGGCATCCTGGACGTGTTCATCTTGCCTGGTCCCACGCCCGCCGAAGTGTTCGCGCAGTACACCAGTCTGACGGGTACGCCTGCGCTCCCCGCGCACTGGGCTTTGGGCTACCACCAGTGCCGCTGGAACTACGTGAGCTCGGACGATGTGCGCACTGTGCAGAAGCGCTTCGACGAGGAGGACATTCCCGTTGACGTGTTCTGGCTGGACATCGAGTACTCGGAGGAGCACAAGTACTTTATCTGGGACAGGAAGCACTTCCCTGACCCGGTCGACATGATCAAGGACGTCGAGGCGATCGGGCGCCACATGGTGGTGATCGTCGACCCGCACCTGAAGCGCACGAACGACTACCCGGTGTACAAGCAGGCGACGGAGCTCGGTATCCTGGTCAAGAAGGGCGACGGGACGACGGACTACGAGGGCTGGTGCTGGAGCGGGAGCAGTGCTTGGGTGGACTTTTTCAACCCGGGCAGCTGGGACTGGTGGAAGTCTCTGTTCAAGACCGAGTCGCAAGGCGAACAGTGGTCGTGGGTTGACAGCACGGTTGACACCGGGATTTGGAACGACATGAACGAGGTCCGTGGGTTGTCCTCCGCCCGGGGATTACGCGCTCATGTCTGCTATAGCCTTCGATCTTCAACGGCCCTGAAATCAGCATGCCGCGCGAGAACATCCACTACGGTGGCTGGGAGCATCGCGATCTTCACAACATCAACGGAATGCTCTTCGTGAGTGCATGATTCACTGCCGTGCGACTGTGCGAGGGCTGACTTGTTTGTCGTCATGAAAGCACAACCTTACGTCGCAGGCGGCGATGGCCCGGACGGACCCTCCCAAGCGGCCTTTCGTCCTGACGCGTTCCTTCTACGCTGGATCTCAGCGTTTTGGCGCGATGTGGACTGGCGACAACCTCGGCACCTGGGAGCACATGGCGGTCGGTGTGAAGATGGTTTTGGCAAACAACATCGCCGGTTTTAGCTTCGCTGGATGTGCGTTGCAGTTCGTCCGTGATCCCAGTTTCCTACTAACGGAGCGTTCCCGTGGCAGCTGACGTTGGCGGGTTCTTCGGCAACCCCGAGCCGGAGATGCTCGTGCGGTGGTACGGTGTCGGTATCTTCTCACCATTCTTCCGCGCGCACGCGCACATCGACACGAAGCGCCGAGAGCCGTTTCTGCTGGACGAGCCATACAAGGGCATCGTCCGCGACATGTTGCGTCTGCGGTACGCTATGCTCCCTGTGTGGTACACTGCGTTCCGGGAGGCGAGCGTGACGGGTTTGCCGGTCGTGCGGCCGCACTTCGTCGTGTTCCCGCAGGATGAGAACGGGTTCTCTCTCGATGACCAGTTCTTTGTGGGCGGCTCTGGCTTGTTGGTCAAGCCCGTGACTCGCAAGGGTGCCACTGAGGAGACTGTGTACCTTCCCGCCGAGGACCAGGTACGGGAGTCTATTCTGAGTGTCAAGACATGCGCTGATATCTGTCATGAAGGTGTATTACGACTATTTCAACGACTATGCTTACCGCAGCACCAGCTCCAAGGGCAAGGAAATCACCGTCTCCGCTGAGCTTCATCAGATCCCCCTGTTCATCCGCGGCGGCTCGATCATCCCGACCCGCGAGCGTCCCCGTCGCTCGTCGCCTCTGATGAAGCGCGACCCCTTCACGCTCCGCGTCGCGCTCAGCTCTGATGGCAGTGCCCGCGGTGAGCTCTACCTCGACGACGGCGAAACGTTCTCGCACCAGCAGGGCCAGTTCGTGTGGCGCGAGTTTGCTGCGGAGAAGCCGACGAAGAAGAGCAAGGGTGTCCGGATCAGCAGCCGTGACCTCGCAGCGCAGAAACCCGCGGAGGCGGTCGACCACGTCGCGCTCACTACGTACGACAGCAGCAACGCCTTTGCGAAGGACATCGCCGATGTGCGGGTCGAGAAGATCGTCGTCCTGGGCTTACCTGCGAAGCCATCGAGCGTCACCATCGAAGGCGGCAAGGAGCTCCGGTGGACATACACCCCTGGGGTTGCGTCTTCGGACAAGAAGGAGGGCACGGCGAGTGTTCTTGTCATCAGGGACCCCAAGCTCGCGATTACGGGCGACTGGAGCATCCTGGTGCAGGCTTGAATGCCTTACTATGTACCGCTGATACAGCATGCTTATATTCCGATGAATTCTGGATGTGTTATATAATCTCATCGCTTTGCGAGCTCTCACAGATCTCACCCGCAGAGGGCGTGGACAGCGACGACCACAACAAAGCGTGGAAGATTAAGCGCTGGAACGCTTAATGAATGAGGCGCGCGCGTCGAGACAAAGCAATCTCAGCTTAGACATAATCGCGCTCCTTCTGACCGCCGCTTTATCGCGGGCCACATCTGTTGTTGAACGTATAAGTGGCCGGATGCCAGCCTTCAGCTGAGCATCAGACTGTACGTCCTGCCACCGATTTCTACAAGTTATCCTTCTGCCTTGGGCGTCGGCATGTCGTCGCCTCTGGGTTCGAGGTACTCGGAATACGGTATCCCCAGCATTGTTATCACTCCGGCCCTGCCATCTCCGGAGTCGCTGCCTGTGGATATGCGTCGTGCGTTGGATTCCGTGAGTACTTCTCCAATTGAGCCACCGCAAGAGAAACTAATCTGAACCCCTCACAGATTCTATCCCGACGTCCGAGCGAATCATCCACTACCGCGGTCGAGCATGGCAATGCTCCCGCTAACCACACGGCTATCGGACGTCCGGACGTCCCCGCAGAAGATGACACGGAAGACACCGGGCACGAGGAGGTATCCCACGCTCCATTTAACACACAGTCCGGGACGACAGACAACCACTTTCTTCTGCAACTCGACTTCGAGAATCCCCGGATCAGCTTCGGAGACGTCCTCGCTGCAATCAACGCGACCCGAAGTGACGCCGTCGACCTCGAGACTGTTACGAACGAAGCTACCGCGACAGACAGCGCGTCTTCTACACCTCGATCACGCTCTCCATCGCCCTGGGACTCCGACTACGTTGTCATCACTGAACCAATTTCGAGGAACGGTAGCGTGGATGCGAGCCAGGAGGTCGCTAAGGACTCTCAGGTCGTCTGGCGTCCTGAGCCACAGTCGGGGATCGTCCCGCCAGTATGGCGTCATGCTATGTATATCAGCACGCTCGTCTGGCCTGCCCAGACGCTTCACTTAAACAATCGCGGCAGTCGAGATAAACTTTTACCTCCTGTGGCCTCCCCTCCCAAGGCTTCCTGGCCTGGGGCCAGTGTGCTGGCCCGCGCGTTCAGTCTGAAGCGCTCATGATGGCCAGGTACATATGTAGCATACTCTACTCGGGTTCATCGTTTGTATCAACACAGCCTAATACACGGCGGGCAAAGCGCCAGGCTCCAAGCAGGGAAATTTGTGCAGCATTTACTTATGGGCACGTTGCATCGCCCGTATGTTCAGCGTAGATTTCCTCACCTGGACCATCGCGCTTTGCCTGCCGTGATATTGATAGTTTCCTTGTCACGATATACTCGATACCTTCGATTGGAATTACGTGCCGCGCGCATGTCCGGCACCATCTTCTCCACCTTGTTCTCAGAAATGAATGCTCCGAAAGAATGATACATTCTAGATGTGCCGCTGAGGAACATCTGAATGCTCTCGCAAAAGATGATCGAAGGGGCGTGCATTATCCTGCAGGTGCGGATTTCCTATCATCGACGAATATGTTCCCAACGCTGTTCAGCATCAACACGCTGCGTAAGGTGCTAGATATCAACAGGTAAGCACCCGCCCTTGACAACGTAGACGTCTTGAACATGCAGTGGTCCGAAGCGAGCGCGTGACGGAAGCTTAGTGCCGTGTTCCACATCCTCCTCTCGCGCGTATACGGCTGCGCTCTTCATCGATCGCTTGTTCCCGTGCTTGCCTCTGAAGCAATGAAATGACAATGAAGATGACGATTCGATATCGATGGAACGTGTTACCTTTAGGATGTCATCAAACACTCAGCGCAAGGACGAAACCTTGGCGACGGATACTAGAGCAGTACCTGGTAGAGACTACAACGAGGTGCGCGGACCTTAGGGCTAACTGCCCTTGCAGGTCTCTCCTGAGGTGCGCGCACCTCGTTGTAGGCTACTCGTACCTGTACGGGATGCAGAGCGGGAGGCGGCATTGGGAGGTGTTATGGGGCTCGTTGCTTAGATCTGCCTCCATATAGCCGCACAGACGAGCAGCGGCCAAGGCCCCGCGTCCTGAATACAACACATCCGGAACCATGGCTAGCTCGACGGACACATCCGAATAACTGACTTCGCGTGACTTCAAGGACTGTACGGAAAACGGCCTAGAGGACAGAAGTCTGGCACATATGTTCTATTATTCCAAACGCCGCAAGGCTCTACTATAGAAGACGTCGTCGCATAAGCAACGGCCAAGGCGCAGAGCGTAGTCGTTGGCGAGGAGAAACCGGCAGAGAAGCAGGTCTTCGAGCAAGTATCACATGAGATGTCACACACGTGTCCAGGGATCGCGAACGAATGGTACCCTCGTGAAGGCGTTCAGTTCCCAGGGAGAGTGTTGAGTAACATCGAGAGCTGTGGGGTTGTCAGCTGCAGGGACCTGACGGGAGCGACTCGCTTTAAATGTCATTAGATATCGTGGCCGCGGATCCTCCAGAAGGGACACCGTTCGCAGGAGGGTCCCTGGTGGTCGTCCATGAGAAAGGGTGATTGGCATCGGAGAACTGTCCACTTACAATCTCGCGACTTTTCGATGATCGTACTCCTTGATCTCATCAAGGGAGAGCATCCTTCTTTCGCCAAGATACACGCCCATATACCAACGCGCATCCTCCGTCTGAAGCTCACTTAGGATGACGCGCTCTTCGGGCAGCAACTCTTTGGGCGGTGGCGTGTTGCCGTCGTCTTCATACTTGACCCTATACCTCATCAAATACCCAATGAAGACCTCGTGGTTCATCCTTCCCCTGCCATGCGGAGTATCGAGTGGTATAGGAGGGTTGATGTTGAACGCGACAAGACCTTCCAAGAAGGTATGGAATTTGGGCGCCAGAATGCCCGCGTTGGACGCATCGAGTGGTGGCACAAGGGTCTGTAACCGGTCCTTCAATCGCACATCGAGACCGAAGTGGGACTGTGGTAGAAGGAGGATGTATCCGGGGAGTGGGTCAAGCTTATAAGGCTCGTCGTCAGGTATGTCGAGGTGCTTCAGTAGTATGCCTCGCAGGAAAGGGCTTTTCCCTACGTTAACCCCAAAAAAGTCGGAGTAATGGGGCGTGAAAGGGATGGGGACATATCGCCCCTCCTGGACGACGGATGATACTCAGTCCAGGAGATCGTCGGGTACTTGAATTTGCTGGTCAAAGAGGGACGTTGGCACAGAGTGCACGTAGTTCAATGCGTCCTCTCCCCACAGAATGCAAGGAAAACCACGAGCAGTGAGCTGACGTAGAGCGACTAGACGTTGGTGTTGTACATCCGGCGACGGTGGCTTGTATTCGTAGAAGAGACCCATGCAAGATGATCCTATCGTGCTAGCTTGTGACTGAGTCAGCTACTCGCCCAATCACTGCAAATGTAAATGTTGTAAGCATACCCTATTGAAGGTGGAGATGAAGCAGATTAACAGGAGGTCGGTAAGCCCGCAAGAGAAGAAGATGGACTCCGCTAGGACAATTGTACTGATTGGCACGGAATGCGACGCTCTGTTAGTCACTAAATATGTTCGTTACTGTCAGCTTGGGCAGCAGGATAGAGGGGGTGTAGCCTAGCGGTGAAATATGCTGAACAGAGGACACGTTCAACCAGGAATGTTGATGTTTTCCACCAATCAGGCAAGCTATCTCGAAGGCGTGACCGGGCCCTTGTCTGGACGCCAAATTCCATATAGGGCGTGTGTCACCGGTTCACCCATGGTGCTTATATTGATCTTGCAAGAATTTTCCCGATGGTCGAGTACAGAATATTACTGCTGCCAGCTGCGGTCAAAATTTGATGAGCCTCCTCAGATACAGACCAGGAGTTTTGCATGATACGTGCCAGGATTCCCATTTGACTCGATATTGACATGGATTACAGTCGATGCATAATCGTCTCCCGATGAATTTAGGTTAAACTGTCAAGCCTTCTTCTCCCTATAAAACCTCCCGAGCTCCTTCATTGCCTGTCCGAAGCTCTCGGTGACCACGGTCCCAGCCTCGAGCCATTTTGGCAACTTTCCTCGTATCCTGGGCGAAGCATACCGACAATCCACCAGAACGAGCGCAGCCCAATCGCCACGATGACGAATAGCGCGACCTTCACACCCCCAGAACGGACTTGAGCGCAAATGATCATTGTCTAGGAAAGACACAGACACACACCAATGCTTTGGTTTACGGCGTTCATGCACATGTTCTCGTACAGCTCCGTCCCCGCGTCCTTCGTACTGCTCGTCTTGGCCTTCCTTGCGCCTGAGGCGAGCTGGCGTTGCTCAAGACGGGTGACATAGTTCATTCGCTCGCGGAGCTCAGGCGACCCAAGATTCGCGAAAGGCAGCCCGACGATGATGACTGCGCGCGCGAGGTCGTCGGTGAAGTTGAGACCTTCGGATAGCTTTGCGCCAACAACGGCGAAGAGGAGCGCGCCGCGCCTCTGTTTAGCCTGAACAGAATCCTAGTTTACAGTGAGCACTGGCCGCGGCTAGGGGCCATGGCGTAGACTCACGGAGCTATCCTTGATTTCCGCAGCGTAGTCGCGCAGGACAGCTTCTACTTGCTTACTCTCCTGCGGTTCGGAGAATACCTTCACATCCGGTCAGATGCCATGCAGCTAGGAAAGATTGAGAATGCGCACCTTCTTCTTCGCACTCAGCTTCTCCAGCATGCCGCTGGCCTTCCACCTCTCGGTGATCACGTTCAGGAACCCGTAGCTAGGGACGAACACGACCATGCCTCCGGGCACGACATTCGTGAAATTCAGCAATATCTGCCCTAACTCTGCGATCTGTCAAGTGCACTCCTCACGTTAGCACATAGATCCTGTACGACGTCCTGAGACGATCTCGAACTCACCAGAGAGTCATCGCCCCTTTGCTGGAACTTGAATGTCAGTTCACCACCCCTCGGCCCCTTCTTCAGAACAAGCGTCTGGAGGTTTGACGTGGGAATGATGTGTCCACACGAGAACGTGGTGAGGCGCTCTGACGGGAGCGAGGAGAACAGCTGGTTCACGACGTCGGACATCTGCGTTCGGATGGTGTACGTCAGTCGTGGTTTAGAGGGAGGTCAGCAGCGGGCGTACGGGAGACATGGTCCCGCCCGCGAGGACGACTGAGCGCGCGGCGTCGACGACCTCTTGGAAGTGGGTTGCGGGATTGAGGTGTTGGTACTTGATTTCAACTGAGCCATCGACAAGGCTAAAAGTCACTCGACCGTCTAGGATAGGATTTTGAACTACAGAACTGAATAGGAGCAATCAGAGGACGGAGGGCGCACCGTCGCTTGACGCAGTCAGAGCGACAATGAAGCTCTCAACCGCGTGCAAAGGTGGTGTTGTATTCGCCAACCGCGCAAGCTTCGCGAGCTTCACAGTATCTACCAGAAGGGCTATGAGTTCCTCGCTCAGGCATAGGGTGACGACGTACCTTGCCCAGCCGCCTTCTCGAGCTCCTTGACCGAGTACCCCGAAATTTTTCTAGCAATCTACGCCAGAACGCGCCCGTATACTTCGCGTTCACTATCAACGGAATTGAGAACGACGTAGGGAAGACCCACCTTGCTCTCCCTCAGATATTTCTCAATCTCTAACAGATTTACTCCCTCCGCCTTCCTCCCCAATCTCGTCATCAGCTCTCCGCTGGTTATCACCTCGACTTCTGGCCCCGCCCTTCCCTTGACCTTCCCGTCCTCCGCTGGCTTTGCCTGCGCCTCACGCCAATCCTCCGCATACTTCGAGAGCCCCTCGAGGACATTCGTCAATCTCTTCAAATGCAGCGCGTGTACGGTCGAGAGCCGGTTGCGAAAGCGCGAGAGGTAGATCGAGAGCTGGTGGCGCGCAGCAGACAGCGTACGGAGGGGCAGACGGGTCGCCGACAGGGAAAGCAAGGTCGAAGTCAAGTCTGTGTTCGAGGTGAGGGAGGAGACAGAGGCTAACGGGAGAAAACGCACTGTGGGCTTCGTCGATGATAACGACTTGATCGGTGAGGTCGATACCCAGGGCTTCGCGTGCAGTCTTCTGAAGGAGGAGGTTGTAAGGGAGGAGGACGAGCTATGACCATCGCCGTGATTTTCGTTAGTGTTTCAGCTGAGGATTCGGGGGATACGGTAGTCACCTGTGCCTTGGGAATCGCGCGTCGCGAGCCGAAATACGGGCACGTATCTGCCGCCTGGCCGATCTGGTAGAGGTCTTCAATGTCTTTCGGCGTCGCCTTCGGCGTGCAAGCGTTAGGTGGCCTTTGTGCGCGACTGATAGCAGCTAGAACATACCAGTATCTGGTCTCTCAAATCCAACATTCGCGCCTCCTCCTCCACCGATGGGAGATGGGGACATCGCTTCTTCCCCTTCTCTGAAAAAAAAACTCACAAGTCAGCAGGGTTATTTGTCCAGACCACGTACGGAATTGCGAACCTCCTAACATCTGCCGACACGCTTCGTCTAAGTCTCCCGCACGCTCCTTCAGCCGCTCGTTGATACACAACTGCTTGCGCGACCCTAGAGAGACGGCGCGCGGGCCCGTTCCCATAGTGCTATCCTCATTCTCATTCTCCAGGGACTCCACAGATCTCTTCTCCGCACGGCTTGTATCTAACGGCCTGCGCACGGATGGAAGAGAGGGTGCGGACGGCACGGCGATGTTGAGCTTGATGTTGAGCTTCTCGAGCTCATGCAGGACTTGAGCAAGCTGCGAATGGGTGCGAGATGCGTAGTAGATCTTCGTGCAGCTTGGTTCCTTCTCGAAGTCAGGAGAAGATATCGGGCCTTGCAGTCTAAAGAGATGCATCACTTTGGGTGAGCGCACGCACGTGGGGTTGGAAGCGCCCGGACTTACTTCCGCATGAGCGCAAGCACAGCAGGTGAGATGTTGCTCTGCTCGCCACCACCATCTTGATAATCTGGCAGAAACACAGTGTCATCTTCAGCGTCGTCCGGAGGGGCTTCAACTTCGGGCGACAGTCGCTGGCGGAATTTGGGTCAGCACGACGTTCGTTGCTGAGAGACAGGGCTTTACCGGTTTCTTCCGCACATGTCCATGTGCTAGTTTCCTAAGTTGCGCCTCGCGTTTGCGTGCAGCTTCGAGGCGTTTCGCGTACTCGAGATCTTCTGCTTCCAGCTGCCGGCGACGGCGCTCTATGGTCTGGGCTAGTACCCAGTCCGTCCCTGCACTGCTCTTTCAGTATCCTGCAGACAAATTCAAAACATAATCTCTCGCGCCCCGTATCCGGAGTAGTCTCTCAAACGAGTGAGAACGAGCATCGGCAGGAATAAGGTCTCTGAGCTGGAGACTCGCCGGCGCCGTCTGCAGATTGATCCTGTCACGCTAACATCGCCAAAGTCATTCTCCGACTATAGAACCTGCCTGATAGGGTGCTGAAGTGCTGCTCGGGCCCGTACCACGTGGAATCAAAGATCAAACGGCACGGGCAGCTTCTCCTGCAGCCATCCTCGCACTGATCTATCTGCCATGATACAAATACAAGTGACATGAATTGCGTACCATGGGAGCCCCCGCCTTCGGATTCGAGTTGACCGGTACGCGCTCGTTCTCGTTCGTGCTGGAGCCAAGTGAGAGACGCGCATAGTAGACTTAGCGTCTTTCCCTAGAAATCATATGAGTGCACATATCAGTTTGAGCATAGAATTGTCGCTTACAGTGCCCGTGGGGCTTTCCATGATGGCGACTTTCTTGTCCTCGATTGCGGAGAAGACGTGTCGCATAAGATCGAGCTGGATGTCATAGGGTTTGAACGGGAATGCAGGAAAGTGTGTGGGTGTCGACAGCTTGAGAGACATTATTTGATGTTTATGGTTAGAGTCGTGCCCTAGACGGCATAATACGATCTCTAGAGGGGGCTCACGACGATCGTTGTGGCTGAAAGTAAGGTCGGAGGCGCTTGGAGATGCGCGACAACCGTGACTTGGACGCGGTGAGTCACGGTAGTCACGGTGTACCAGAGGACTTGAGGTTAGTCCCACCACCTCCTGGGCGGCACTGGCACATGATGCCTCGAGGATACCATGGACCGAGCTATACTACAGCGGCTGATTCATTATCTACGAGCACTCAAGCTCGGGTGAACCCATTTGGCTCTATGTTGGGACTAATGACGCTGAGGATAGTAGAATTCGCTGGAAGTTATACTCGAAGTTCGTCAACTAGACATAACTTACGTGATGCTGGAGCTCCGTAAAAATGGCATCCGACTACATTGCGCACCCTTCAGAGTCCGCAAAACTGGCAGTTGCGTCTGTGGCTGTTGGTACTAGTTCGCGACAGGGTTTGGCCGAGCTCATCATGTACGCCCCGTTATATTATAGTGCTATGCTACATATTCCAACTTGTCCACCACGCTTGGTTGCTCTCAACTCGGAGCCTCAACTCGGAGCAGCGGGTGGGACGGAGCGTGATACTCGACGTGCAGTGTGTTTGAAGCGCAACGCCGGACATGGCGTTAGAGAAGCTTCCCGCGTCAAGTACGGGGCGAACGACCAGCGCGATCAGTCACTGAACTCACGCGCGCCATCTTTCCAGTCACTCATGGCATCACACTACGAAAACGACATCATATTCATGCAGTCTACGAGTACGTTATATCGCCACCGGCCCTGTCGGGCTTGAGAGTGGCGTCGCTGCGTTGCAAGGTGAACGCAGCGTTTGGGGTAATTGATTTTCAAGTGCCACGGAGTCAGTTGATTCATCGACCAAATCAGCTCCTCGCCCACGATTGTGGTAGATGGGTCCTGAAGGCCTGAAGTCGTAGCGTTGTACGCTTAGAGCTTCGCAATCTTCGCGATAACGACCGTCCAGGACCTCAGTACTACAGTGCGGGTACGCAACAGATGCAGCGGGCGGCGGGGCTTCTCCCTTGACCTCGTCCAAGCGGGGCTGCCCCAGCTGCCAAAGAAGCTGTAGGTTGCCGGAGGCGGCAAGGCACATGCATGGGTCAGCAATCCTGACAGCTATACGACACGACAGTGAAAGCACGGCGTGAAGTGGAGGGAAATTGTACACATTTGGCACGATAGAACAGGGACAAAAAGGGGGTGAAGAAGAGATATAGCAGAAGGACCACTCACAACTGCGAGCAATGCGGTACGCCACCCTCACGACAAAGTAGTCGTTGGACACCTGGAAATCCAGAGGGGATGTGAGCAAACCAATGACGCGGCGTGGAGGATACCGCCCGGATAATCGTCCAGAAAGCTAGGCGGTGCTCACGTAGCTGTCGACAGTACGTACATGACAGTGGCTAAGCCGCATGCAAGCAGGCTGGGTTGCCTCCTCATCTGTCAAAGGAGTGACGGAAGGAGTCCATTGGGGATGCATTCTCGCTCGCGGCGGCTTTATGTATTCCAACCTATCCGCAATTCATTTCCGAACCGGGTCTCGAACGACCGCAGCATCCACCTAGCCCGATGTTGCTGCGGTAATGAGCAAGTAATGAAGCATGTGAAGAGACGATGAATGTCACATGTAAGTTTGTTAGCAGGCTGAGAAGACCACCTGAGCATGCGATAGCAATGCTGCGGTAGGTCGACATCCAGTTGGGGGATTTATCACTGACGATGACGGGAAGCCGCAGCACCCAATGGGCACTGTGAGTGTTTGTGCGAGGTGTATTTGTTCTCAGACCTACTTCAGGTAGGTCCGTACATAGCCCCCTGTCAGCCGGGGAACGTCATCGACTCTCAAAGACGTACCATACAGTGTCTGAGACAAGCACATGAGCAAGATATGTGCCTCGATGTCGCTCAAAAAATTCAGTGATGTGCGCTCGTGCGCGTCCTTCCCATCTACTACTTCCTGGCGTTCCACAGCGCGCTCGATTCTGTACAATGTCGGAGAACCGCCAGTAAGCATAATGAGAGGACACCCGCAGACAAAGACGCACCACTGCTTCACGAGCATGGTCACACCCTGACTCACGAGTCCCTTCAGAACCTTGAACCCCAGCGTTGCATACAGCCCTTGCTAACCCTCTGCGCTCGGTGCCGCGGCCCGCACGCTTGTCTTAGAGGGCCTGTGCTCAGAGTGTCACCACGATGCTTGTACGTGCGCCTTCGAGAAGGGGGTGGAGAAAAGTGATCGTGAGGCCGTTCGCCGTCGCCCTACCAAGGAGCACGCCGAACGCAGATTGACCGGGCGGGGACGGAGCTTGTGCGGGAGGCGGAGGCGGCCAGTGAATGATGAGTCGATATACGTCCCGGAATCCTCTGTGCTAGCGGCCCGAGCTGGTTGATGACGTCGTTTGCCGTTGCCAAACATACGATAATACCTGTTCCATAGCCGGTTCTGTGCTGCATCCTGTGGGAAGCCTAAGATTAGGCAAAATTTGAGGACATATGTCGAGGTGAAGGGTAGTAGTTGTTGATATTCATAGTCTCGTGACCAGACGTTCGGAGTGTGAAGCGGATGCGAAAAATCGGGGGCATCCGGACACTCGAACGTCTGGTGGCTTTACCCCCGTGACTCCCCGCTCGGTGACCTGTGTGACATATCGACACCCATTTGGGGCAGTCCGAGAAAGCCGGAGGTCGCCCTCGTGCGATGTGGCGGCCTGCTGTAGATGACCATGCAGTCGCTCGAGCTACTGACCATGAACCCCTTGTGTGGCGTGCACTCGTCCACACGTATTGTAGAGCACCCTGCGAGAGATGCATGATATCATTGCTGAGGATGCCTCTTCCCATGATGCCCGCTCCCCTCGAGATTACCCGCTACAACCTGTGATGGAATTGACAGGAGTTCGACCACCGCTGGTGATATTACTCTGGTGCTGGACAGAGTGCAGATCTGAGCGATGATACTCCCATAGAAGAGAAGGAAACCTCCAAGGGGTACAAGCCCAAGGTGACGGGCATCGGTGGACACGGCGATAGGTGCATCACACTCCTGAATTCAGACGTGTCATGTTATCAGGTTATGCACACAAAGAGAAGTCACAGTGTATTGCCTATAACAGAGACAGAGGATTACAGGGGAATTGACTGCTTGCAGATATCATAGATAGTGCAGAGTAGGCTCAGCGCAGCTCAAAGACGGTGGGAGATAAGCATGCAGGCGCGCACGCAAGGACAGCTCGGACTCCCGGAGAGAGGGCAGGGAGGTCACATAGGTCACCGAGCGGGGAGTCACGGGGGTAAAGCCACCAGACGTTAAGGTGCTCGGGAACTTCCGATTTTTCGTTCCCGCTTGGGGCTCCGAACGTCTGGTCACGAGACTATGATATTCATGGTAAGCAACTACTTTCGCCTCCGCCCAAATTTGGTAACCTAGACGACCATCATAGCACCTGATAATCAGCGCGTTGACTCATGTGAAGCTTTTTGGGGTGGTTTATATGCGCTTCTATGGCCAAATCAATGGGTATAAGAGATCTAACTGTAGGAAAAAGGAAGTCGCGTTTGGGCGCAGTGCAAACGCGTGAGGTACTACGCGTTGCGAGCCAGACTATATATATACATGTAAACAAGACTCTGAGACAAAATATACAGTACGAGACAAAACAAGACCAGCGTGAGCACAATGTGAGCTCAATTACATAATATGAGATTCAACACTAACTTGTCATTACAGCAGTTGCGTTGATTCACTCGATGCCTATCGCTCGACACTGCCCTCATGTCTTTCGCATGGGTCTGATCGCGGACATATCAATACGCCTATCGTACATTGCGATGGTCAGTATCGATACAAGTACATGCGAACTTTTCCATACACAACAAAACCAAGTAGAAGAGAGGAATGGGAAGATGGTACAGGGATCCAAGAACTCCCGAGTAAGAGAATGAGTGCGGCCAATAGCGAACCGAGCTCCAGCCGGATAAACTCCCTTTCTCTTTTTCTGGACAGCAAAGAGAAAAATGGAATAGATGTGCCGAGTCCGAGGGCGAAGGAGGAGGATGGGCGATGTGTAGTGTTGTGCAAGGCCGGGCTCCAAGCCCTGAAGCCCCGGGTACCCGGCCCCGAAAAGCCCGGCCCAGCCCAGCCCGGTGTCAGGCTTTCAGGGCTTGAGGGCCCGGTGATAAACTCGGGGCTGTGAAGACAAAGATTAGATCCGACTAGAGTCGAAGCAAGATCTTCAGTCAGTAAGGAAAGACTATATTGCAGTAACAAACTGTACCTAGAGTCGAAGCAAGACTACAAAGGTTAAGTAAGTAACTACAAGTTAGAGATAGATGTAACGAAGTACTCACTCTTCAGTCAGTAAGGAAAGACTGAAGAGGGAGAACGCAATCTGAAGTCCTTATATACTACAGAGAAGTGTCCATGACTAATCGAAGAGTGGTTAGTCACATGTACCATAGTGCGATGAATAATACGATGGTGAAAGAATTGCGATGTATCGCACCATAGGATGAGTAAGAGATGTGTAAGGCATAGACCTGTCTAGACCGTTCTGGAGTAGTACGGATTGTCCTAGACAGTACCAGAAGAGTCCGGAAGCATAGCTATAGTACACGAGCAGAGAGTCCCGAATATGGTAACATACTACATAAGCGACTACAGCTAAGCGCTAGGAGACGCATAGCCTCGTGTAGTCCGGACTGGATAAGTCCAAGTT